CCAATAAGACCAAATTATCGTTTTTTTATCTTTTAAAAAATAAAAGATTTAAAAAAAAGAAAAGATATATTTTTCCTATAAGTTCACTATTAAATACATAGATTGCCAGCTTTGGTGATGTAGGGAAAGCGTACGAGTGGGACGATATTAATGAGATCTCAATCTCAAGAACATCAAAACACGATATAATTCATATTTTATTCATAAACAACCAAGGAAAATAAACTAGAGGGAGTTCTTTATATAAGGCTCCTAACCCTAAATATTAACTTGTCCACCAAGCCATTAAATAATAATAATAATTATAATAATAATAATAATAATAATAATAATAATAATAATAATAATAATATTAACTTGTCCACCAAGCCATTAGTGAGATTGCTGCCCCCAAATTCATGAAGAAATTGGCAGACATATATTTCACTCGAGTTATCGATTCGGCGGAATCTGTATTCTCCTTATCTCCTAGGCAGGTGGCCTTGTGGAAGTCGCAACAGGGTGATCACGCATCAGATTGGCTCCGCGCAGTCCCGATTTCTGGGTTAGGGCAAACGATGAATGGTAAGACCTACCGTGCCGTGCTCTGCTATCGGTTAGGCGTGCCATTATTTTCCATTTCCAGTCCATGTTCGGCTTGCTCTCGGGTCTTTGATGGGGATATATTTGGCGATCATGCGGTGTCATGTGCCGGTGTTGTTGGCATTAAACATCGCCATAACCTTGTTCGCGATACTCTTTCAGATGTCTGCTTTCGCTCCGGGATCTCGGTTGGTAAGGAGGTCGATATTGGGCTCCTCGATGCGCAAGATAGACCACTTCGCCCTGCTGACTTGTTACTTTACTCATGGGATAGGGGGCTTGACGTTTGCGTTGATTTGACTGGTTCCTCGCCCTTGACCCAGTTCGGGATGTCTGACTTCGTTCCGGGGCGTGTTGTGGTTGATGCCGCTCAGCGCAAACGTGCGAAATATGACGCCTTGTGTGCAACTAAGGGCTATGGATTTCTTCCATTCTCTTTCTCTTCATTGGGAGAGTTGCACACCGAGGCCATCGCCCTACTCAAGAGGATACAGAAGTATTCGCTATCTCAGGACACGGGAGCACGTGCCGCTCCTCATATTTTCACTCGTATTAGCTTTTCCATTGCAAAAGGAGTGGGGGCCCAGATAGTATCTCGGCTCCCCTCCAATTTCT